CCCCCCCCCCCCCCCCCCCCCCATTTCGTCGAGGAGAAAAACCATAATTCGTTGGGGAGAAAAAAAATGTAAATATTAGTAGACTCAAAATCGATTAAATAAGCCTTTGAAACCCATAAATTGTCAAAAGTTTCGGGGGCTTCGCCTCCCCCCCTCTCTAGGCCACTTTCAGAAGATTTTAAGCGACGCTCAATCATGCCCACTTTGCTCTCTTCGATGAAATCTTCCCCCTCGTTGGAGCATTCCCCCGAACATTGGACCCCCTCGGGCAAATCCTGGCCCCATCCCTGGTAAGAAAGAACATACGAGAGCTAGAATAATAATAGTTATTCGGGTTTAAATAATGTTATTTAGACAGATGGACGTACGCATATGCTTAAAGTCTATACAACCAATATCAATTAATTTCAAAATATTATAATTATAATTGGGGTGGGGGGTGCAATTTTCTACTCTTTCCCCCGGGCACCAAAACCTCTAGCTACGCCACTGAGAGTCATGTCATTTATATAGCCTTATCAAGCAAGGCATCATCCTCAAGACTTAGGCCAAGGCACATGTATACACACACTACTGTTAGTCTTTGGTTATCTATTTATATGACAATACTTGCGATAAAAAGTTGAATTTACTGTAAACAAGAGGATTCATACAGGCCTAGCATTTTATATACCTAGTACTACATTAAATGACCCTGCATCAAAAGTGGATTCGAAAAATTTGACACTAATAAATAGGCCCTAATCACAAAGGGGAAACTCATTCTCGATCTAGGCCTATACTCTGTACCATAAGATTGACGAAGTCTACGTAAAGTTTTGTGCTTTCAAAGTGTATGAATATTTTGGTCGGATAAGATAGTCTAGGCATCTTGGACCAAAACTTGAGATGTGGGGATTGAGAACTTCAGACTTCGTAAAGACTGTGTTTATGACTGATATATGCCACCCAGATTGATATGTCACTAGAGCGAAACCGCCGCCAAAAGAAGAATCCAAGCAAGGCCTAGGCCTGCATGCTTGCTTAGATTCTTCACCAGCGAAGAATTTAAAAGCAAGGCCTAGAGGCGGATTCCTAGATACATATGCCAAGAGTTTGGTCCAGATATCAGTCCTTGTTTGATAATGGTTATATATAGGCCTAGCTAAATGAAACTCTTTACTATAAAGGGGAACCATACGCCTTTTTAACGATGACAGTAAAGTCAAACAATATTGTACTTTTGATGTTCTAATTTCCCAGTACATCGTTCTCCTTCCACCGGTCATTGCGTGTGATATGGTGATATGCAATGCCAGTCTTCAAAAAATGATGTCGCGCACATTCTGGCACTTCATTGGGTGATGGTGATGCAATGCCATTTACCGTACTTATAGCAAAACGAAGTAGAAATACGGTACCGTATCTCAAGCCACGGTGTTAGTTTAACCTAAATACAGTATAATAATTTTCCATTTAGTGTACGATGCATGCTCTACTAATTGCTTTATAAGTCAATCGGCGTCTTTTAATTTTAGTTTTTATAACCAAACTGTTGCAGCAGTCATCAGTTGCTATAGTGATATGATCAGTATACGTGTGCATATTTACATTTAGCTGTGCGTATGTTGATTTTTGTTTCTGCAGTAAGCGTTCAAGCCTATTGCCATTTTGACTTAGGCCTTGCCGTTTTGGTCATTGCCGTTTTGACTTAATGCTGTTTTGGTCCATTGCCGTTCTGGTCAAAAAGTGTTGCTGTTTTGGTTTTTTGCCGTTTTGGCTTATTGCCGTTTTGGTTCATTTCCGTTTTGTCGAGAAACTGATTGTTTTTCTTGTATTATATGCAACTCTCTGATTTTTGTTATTGTATTTTTGTTAAACCATTTTTATTTGTGATTTCAACTTTTTCTGCAAGTATATTATTGCTACATTTTTTATTACAATTTTTTAAGAGAATTTTTGAGCAATTTTGTAGGCCCTCTTCTGCAATGTTTTGTTTATGCTTCTCTTGGTAAGAGGCTTTCACTAGTAGACTGGTTTTGCTTTCAACTACCTTGCATCCCGTATTTTCCTTGGTTCAACCGTCATTTGCATAAAATTTCCTGGTGCTTAACTGTTGCTTACCGTTTGCACTCGCTATTTCAATATGTACTGGTCCTGCCCAATGATGGCGCCAAGACCTACCCAACAGAGGCATCCAGGGGGCCTGGATGCCACGAATATTTGATTAATTATGGCGATTTTTTTATCTTATTTGATAGGCATCGAGTTACTACAGCTTCATGTAGGCTATGCTTTCTAATATCGAAATCAGCCTCCAAAACCAAAACATTTTGAATAAAACAACAAACAAAGAGTATGCAAGAAAGTATAATACATACTCCAAGTATTGAAATACACGCCATCGTGTTGGGATTCAATATTTCGACATTAATTATGTCATCATCATTGATATTTCAATACTTGGAGTATGTATTATACTTTCTTATCTGAGATTAATCAGTGGACCTTTTAGTTTTTAAGAGTATGCAATGTAACCATCTAATTTATTTTCAAATCCTCATTCTTAAAAGTGAAATTCTATATTTTGGAAATTTTGCATGAAATCTGTCAACCACGCTGTCATGGTCGAGGTTGTTTCACCTATCACGATGTATTCCAAGCATCATGAGGCTATCCAAACGAGCATTTGTCATAACAGAACACAAATTATTTTATTTTAGTCTCATAATATCATTATTATTATTATTATTATTATTATTATTATTATTATTATTATTATTATTGTTGTTGTGATGAAAAGTTAACACAAATAGTTTAATGAAAACAATATGGTGGCTAAACGAACATTACATGTAAATATATAGCCCCCAGCCCCCTCTGGCGCCACTACTGGTCCCACCGTATGCTGCTTACAAAGAAACCAAAAAGGAATTTTTCTTAATTGTTAACAAACTTATGCTAGAACTAAACTATGTAAAGCCGGTAGAAATAAGGTGAGACGAATCCACAAAATTTCTTCATGAACAAACCTTCAAATCTCAAAAGACCGAGTTTGCAGAAGGTGCTAACTTAAAGAACCTCATAGATATTACGCCTAGCAAGTATACTTTCCCATTGGTTTTCATGACCAATGCATGTTTAATCATGAACAAAATGAACAAACTTTCTGTTATGGTCAGACAGGCCCGAGTGGACATTATTGCCATTTCTGAGACACATCTAAAGCCTCATGTTCTTGACTCCCTTAAACTCAATGAATATAATTGCCGCCCGTAGAAATCGTCTTGAAAGGAATGGAGACGGAATTATTTTTTATACGAGAAGAAATTCCTTCAAAGTGTGGGATGAGCTTGAGGACAATAATTACAAAACCTTGTGAATTACAATTCGTCCTTATACGAAGAAGATATCTAACATTACAATGGGATTAGTTTTAATACCACTGGTAAGTTTCAAATCCCAGACGTTTATGGTTTTTTATTGTGTCCGTAGGTTTTGAAATTTAGTGTAATTATAATATAGATTATGACTCGCTTTGTTGTTTTCATTATGTAGTCTACTATGGCTTCAAATGGAAAAAGTGGAAACAGCTTTGGAGTTCCTCTAGAGACCTACAATGACTATGGAGCCACTGATGATACATCTTCATTGGCGAATAAAGATTTTCTTGTAAGTAACTATTTGTTGTTTGTAATTGTAATATAATTGTACTGTAATTGTAAAAACGTATGTAAGGCCAAATAAAAAAATGAACTTGTTAAGCGTCACCGCCTGCCCCTGATTTTAGCCGCCCCTCTTTTTTTTCCCTTTTTTTTTTTGGAAAAAAAATGACGAAAATCAACTTAAAAATGCAGATAATTGATGAAATATTATCGTTTTTATTCGTCTTGAGTGCAGGGAACAAGCTGTGACGTGCGCCACCAACATAAACACATGTACTGTCACAGACATGGTAGTACTATGTAGGCCTACTTAGGCCTAGTACATGTTTAATTTGGTTGTTTTTTTAGATAATAAACAATTTTTTGAAAATGATAATTAACTCTACAAGATAAATAAGGTTTGTGATACGATCTAGACAGCTACGTAGCTTCAATTAGCCAATGTTTCAGGCTTTGGTTGGCTAGTAACTAGGCCTAGCTACAGTACCAAATGACTAGGCCTAGGCTAGGCGGCTAGCCCTACCTAGGCCCCCCTAGTCGAGAAAGTCAAGACAATTCACACACACAATCGTAGGCTAGGCCTTGCCAAAAATAAATATTGTACAAACAAATCTGTTATGTACCTTGGTTTGACGACATACGTAAAATTTAGTTTTTGTTATGGCCAGTTTCAGACTTTTTTCAGACAGAGACTTTTTTTATACCTTGTTTAGCGAACCCACCGAACGCAAATATTGATGATTTTGAATAAAAATTAGCGCACCTGCCGCCACAAAAAGGGAAGTTTCAGAAAAAAATTTAAGTTTTTAAAAAAAGCTTTATTACGCCCTCCGCTGCCTTGAAATCTCCAAAGATAAGATATGTATATTTCTTCCTAATCAGTAAATTTGAAGCAATTAACCATTCCATTTTACATTCGCCAATAAAATTTTATTTATATTTTCTCCTCCGTCTGAATGTTTTTAGCAAAACTATTTGCTAAATAAGAAAACAAAATTTTATTTTTATTTTTATTCTGCACACTTTAAAAAAATAGGTACGCAAAACAATGAATATTAAAAGTCTTGTCTTATTTCAGAAATAACTGTTATAGTGTCCACAGTCTAGATCCAACTGTAAAGCTATTTCCTGATGTTTGTTATTTCACATACTGTACAGTTATCAAAAACCAAGGCGTTATAATTTTGCTTTAAAATAGGATGACCTATTATATAAGTTTCCAACTGAATATAAAGCTAATTTTACTGAGAATGGTTAAACAGTACCGGAAGATCTTAATTTTAGAGTATCCCATATAAACCATGCGTACTCAACCCACCACCTACCTAAAATTTCTAGTTTGCAAAATATTACAAAAATTGCAGTTTTAGTGAGCGAGAACCATCTACAGTATAATCTAAGGGTGTATACCACTTGGTCTTATATACTGTAGTGTAGCAGAAGGTCTTTGAATCAAAGCTTGATTACGATTAAGTTTTTCCTCAAATTTAATATTTGTTATCATCTTAATTATTAAAAGCTTAAAATTATCAAAGTTGCCATGTCTCTTTCTTCAAGGCAGTGATTGATTGAGATTATAATTTTTTTTATGTGATTTTTTCATTTCTGGCTTTGAGTTGTACTTTGCACACCCCGCTGAGGGCGGCGTTCCGTGACCCCTGCGTCTAGGCCTAGGTAGGCAACTACTGTACAATTATATTTGATACCTCGTGTATGGATGTGATCAAATTCGCTTTATGTGCGGCTTCGGAGAAAAGTAGGTCAGTTCAGATACTAACAGTAGGACGTTTGATGGAGTGTCTGGATGCTAGTTTAATTTAAAATTAAGTATAGGCCTTGTCTGCTTGCCTATCGCTTCTGTATAGTTTTATTTTTTTAGTTTATTATGTTAATGTCGAAATATAAATAAAACAAATAATAAATAAATACAACTGATTGTGTACCTCTGTATTTCAATAATAATTATATGCTAATCATTCAGTGACACAAACATGTGGTGTACAGAAAACAGTAATCAATTCTTTCATTCTGACAATTTATATCCATACGACATTAGAAAAATATAAACAGTATACATATAGGCCTACAGACTGCTTGGAATACATGGTATGCAAAAACTATCCTCCCATTTTTTTAGGATAGGCCCTAACATCGTTGGCAAGAAATGAAATGGAGTGAGGCATTCACAAAATACTGTACATGTAAAATAACCATTTGAAGCAAAACATTGAAATAGTAAATAGTGAAATAATAGAATACCATTTCTGCATGGTTTAACCATTTTAATGAGGTTGAACCATCCAGCATATACAGTAGTACAAATAATGACGTAGCCTACAGTTGCACTCTGTAAACATATGCTAAAATGAGACGATATGACCACATAATCAAACATCAGTGAACTTCTTCAGATCAACTGCGGCTGATCCAGGTCAGTGTTTACACGCTGCTCCATTTTTGTGCGGGCTGTGCAGACACATGGAATGGGGTACATGTACTTTGGCAAAAGGTACTTGTTTTCATAGCGTTAAAGTCGAACATCGCACAATGAAATTTGAGTGGGAAGCAGGGTTCGAAATAACGCTGGTCTGCCGCCCAATGGCTAGTAAAATGCATGGCGGACCTGTTAATTATCCCAATTAAACAAGTCTGCGTGACCAGTTAAAATGTCAATGAAAGTCCACGAAATACCTAAAGTTTTACTCATTCACCTCTTAACGATGTCTTTACAAAATATTTCACACAGATAATGTCAACAAGATCGCTATTTTCTGTTTATTGTCATGTTAATGTCCGCTACAAACAGCCTTGGGCTCAGTCATTCAAGGCGAACCGATGAACATCACCCACTAGCTAGACCATGGAGGAATCCATGACTAGACGTACTCGAACCGAACATCAAAGGTTTTAACCCGTGGTACCGCCGTTCTTATCATAATCAACTGATAAACAATTTGCAACTAATTACAATTGCTTTGCGCATGCTCGCTATCGTGTTCTCGTTATGATCGACGTCGTGTCATACCATGATTTCCAGGGAACAGTTAAATTACACCACCTAAGTTATACAGAAACAATTAATGTGGACTAGGCCTAGGCCTACATCGCGACGATTAATATTTTGCAAAATGCTCGATGGCGAATGGTCTATATTCTATTTTAAAATACTAATCAAACAGCAAATCTACAGTTTGACATGGATTCGGGCCTAGATATACTGTACAAAGAGGGTAAACGTAAATGTGTACGCCTGTCAGTCACGATCAGGTAGCCTAGCCCTATATTGCCTGGTAGGCCCTACTGTTAGGAGGCTCCGGGCCTTACAAGCGACCTAGCATGGACGTTTGTTGCGAATGCTTTTTCCGTTTAGTCTAGAGTTGCGCACCTCGCTGTGGTTATCGTATTACAGTCGGCAGATAAAACTTGGTAGGACTGATAATCAAGTGTATCCAAAATATTTTTAAAAATAAATTATATTAGGCCCTTTATGCCTGTGTTCACTGTTAAACATACTTGTGACAGTACAGTATGTGGGATGGTGTTTTTATGCAGGGAGGTGGTAGTTTATGTTGCTGTAGTATTGTACTCCTCTCCTCTACGCTATTTTATTGTTATTTATTGAATTTATAATGTAACAATTAACAGGGGAAAAAATAAATGCTTGTGGTACACAATGTATGTACCTCTAGTTCTAAAAGAAAAATTGGGTACAACCCTCTGTGTTAAATAAAAAATATACTCTGGCCCTTCGTCCTATTTTTATGCCCATCCCTACAATACACCTTTTAGAACACCAAACATGAATGAAATGCAAGGGAAAGAGTTACAATTTAATACATTTATTAACAATATAAAATGAAAGTTATTTTACAATATTCATTGGATGTTGCCTGTTTGGATTTTAAAATAAAATTACCTGTACATCTTATCTAATTACCGTTACATTGTATCTAATTGCAATAACAATCCAATTATAAATTATAAATTATATTTTCTAAACCAGTTATATTTATTTATAATTCTGTCCTTTTAATAATAGCACTTTCAATGACGCAGTACTGGTTTCACAAGTGGATTAAATAAACAAAAAAATTAAAGAAAAGTTAATTTGGATCAAGCAAGAAAACATAACTTTGCAGTGGAAATGATAAAACATGACGGCCTGGGTTTCAATTAGGTTTTTAAAGGTTGAAAATCATTACAATTTATTATAAATTACATCTAATCTTATTTTGATTGAGAAGGTGACGAGAAAGCAGCGCAATGGAGTAAAAATGATGAGCTGAAGAGTCAACCTCTCACTCTTTCATCTCCGCCCATTTTCAGCTTCCTTAGCAAATTCACTGGTCTTCATTTTCTGACTTGAACCTGAAAAAGAAAAAAAAATACAAATTTAACTGTAGGTTATTTATATAAATATATATTTAAAAACATATACAGGTTGATTGGGCTCAATTTCAACTGTATGCATCATCACTAAATTGCTATCAAAATAAAAAGAATACAGACAGGTGACAAATAAAACAAACAACCAAGGGCTTAGGCTTAATACTGTATAATAATCATAAAATATTAATTAAATTATTGACGTTCTAACAATAAAAATGTATGCCGCCAGGCTCAGTATGCAGTTAGGAATGACGACAGATAGCTAGGCCTAGGTTTACTTCCTGGTTTACCGACGATCACTGGATTTTGTGCGAGTCCGATGCAAAATATAGGTTCAGATGGGCGAATATCTCTGATAGCCACAGTTGCTCACTCAAGAGACTTAGGGCATTTGTAAGTTAAATATCAATCTTTTAATACATCAAAACCGGAATGATGAGCAATTGTGGCTTTTGATATTATATATAGTCTAGAAAATTAAGTAATTTGGCACAATGTCAGTACACATACTTACCAAAAAATTACTTATAATTGCTTGCTTAATTAAATCTCACTATGGAGTTTGACAGGAAACGCTTCTAAAATATGTAAAAGTGCTTTTAAACCAGTCGTTATGTA